TGTGAGTTTCCTTCTGTCGAATGTCAACAAACTCAGGACTGCCACACTGTACAAAACCTGACGAGCCCCTGTAAACGCACTAGTGAAGGGGACTGTACCTAGGCTATATGACGAGCCCCTGTAAACGCACTAGTGAAGGAGACTGTACCTAGGCTATATGACGAGCCCCTGTAAACGCACCAGTGAAGGACAGTACTGGGCTATATGACGAGCCCCTGTAAACGCACTAGTGAAGGAGACTGTTCGTTGTGTTTGGAAACTGTGAAGACTGAGTGTGTCGTTGTGTCTTGGTTCCTTTACTGTTGTGTTTTATTCAACTTCCAGCGTTTTGTCTTTTTTGTTATTATGGAATGATTGTGACATTTGTTGGTTGTACTGTAGTTGTGTGTTATAGTTCAAGGGTTGTAAGGACGTGAGTTGTGTTGGTGGGGATTATTATTTGAGGGTACGTAGTTATTATTATTATTATTATTATTATTATTATTATTATTATTATTATTATTATTATTATACCTTTAGCTAATTGAATGTTTGTATATATTAAAATTTATTATATATTACTTAACCTAACCTAACCTAACCTAACCTAACCTAACCTAACCAGTTAAGAAAAAAAGTTAAATAAACTCATAAACTTTTTAGGAATCAGTTTCCGTGTGACGACATTACGCCATTTACGCTCAAACTTTGTAAACTTTGTCCCGTAAAAGTAGTTAAGGTGAAGTTACAGAGGGGAATGTTGTGTTGTGTGTTCGTGTTGTTGCGGTATGGCAGGTGGCTCTGGCTTCGGCGTCGTCTTCCGCTGTGTTGACGTTTATATGACTTGACAATATGAAACTTTGTGTTTAACCTAACGTAACCTCTTAACCTAGTACCTAACCTAACCTAACCTAACCTAGTACCTAACCTAACCTAACCTAACCTAACCTAACTTAGTACCTAACCTAACCTAGTACCGTCTCTTACCTGTCTTTATATACAGGTACCAGGTAATATAGCATTGTACCTTCTCTCACCTGTCATACCTTGTACCAACTAATACATAATACCTGGTACGCCTTATACTTGCCAGTGGTACCAGTTATTATATGAGACCTTCTCCCCACCTCTTCTCTCTCTCTCTTTCTCTCTCTCCTCTCTCTCTCTTCTTTCTACTTCCTCTTCTTCCCTCTTCCTTTCCTCCCTCTCTTCCCTTCCTTTACCCTCTCTCCTCTCCCTACTCTCCTATTCCTTTCTCTTCTCCTTTTCTCTCCCTTTCCTTCCCCTCCTCCCCTCCCCCTTTTTCCCTCCCCTTCCCTCTCCCTCCCTGCATCAGAATCGTCAACCATCCTAGTAAAAAAGATCAAAGCATTACCCCTAAAATGACTAACGAAGATCATCTTGGGATAAAATACAGACAGACAGACAGACAGACAGACAGACAGACAATCTAAAGGTATATTAACTAACACCAAACTTTCATCCTGTTCTCAATGGCTCTTTAAATAAAATAAAATAAATAATAATAAAAAATAAATAAAAAACTACAAAATTGGCGAAAGATTAAAAAAATAAACTACGAAATTGGCTTAGTTGGGTAATTTGTAGGCGGTGGTGGTGGTGGTGGCTGTGGTGGTTATCTTTGCTACAGTAGGTGAAGGAGAGTGTAAATTGTGTTGTGTAGCTGTAAGGCGCTCCACCAGGCTCTCCTATCGCTAAAGTTGGGTCGTGTGTGTGTGTGTGTGTGTGTGTGTGGTGGTAGTAGTAGTAGTAGTGGTGGTAATAGTCGTAGTAGTAGCAATATTGGAAGTAACACCAGTAAACGTAGCAGTAATCATAATAACAATAGCACCTATAACAACAACAACAAAACGCACACATCAACATTAATACCATATCATTATAATGTTGTATAATAACCCGGAACGAGAGTCACTTGTGTACGATATACACCTGTCCACAAATACCTGACAGGTGTTTTAATTGATTTGTTTGTTTATGTTTCTGGTGAGTAATGTTGTTTTTTTCTTTCTTATTTCCAGGTACGTTTGTGGTGTTGTGTTTGTGCTGTGGTGTTGTATGTGAGTATTGTATTGGTTGTTAAGGACTGGGTATTGTTGTCTGTGTGGGAGCCTCTTGTTAGTACCTTTGGGCAGGAGGATGTGGGGTACCTTTGGGCAGGAGGACGTGGGTACCTTTTGAGCAGGAGGATGTGGGGTACCTTTGAGCAGGAGGACGTGGGGTACCTTTTGGGCAGGAGGACGTGGGGTACCTTTTGGGCAGGAGGATGTGGGGTACCTTTGAGCAGGAGGACGTGGGGGTACCTTTGAGCAGGAGGATATGGGGTACCTTTGGGCAGGAGGACGTGGGGTACCTTTGAGCAGGAGGACGTGGGGTACCTTTGAGCAGGAGGACGTGGGGTACCTTTGGGCAGGAGGACGTGGGGTACTTTGAGCAGGAGGACGTGGGGTACCTTTGAGCAGGAGGACGTGGGGTACCTTTGGGCAGGAGGACGTGGGGTACCTTTTGGGCAGGAGGACGTGGGGTACCTTTGGGCAGGAGGACGTGGGATACCTCTCCCTTACTACTACATGAAAATATACAAACATTTCTGGGATAATGGTAAAAGATAGCGGACTGTGTGTGTTGGTGAAGGACTGGCAGCTCCAACTCGTGCATGACAAACTGGTTCGGGAATTTTCCAGGTTTATTTCCATGATGACGCCGACGTAATTTTCCAGGTTTATTTCCATGATGACGCCGACGTAATTTTCCAGGTTTATTTCCATGATGACGCCGACGTAATTTTCCAGGTTTATTTCCATGATGACGCCGACGTATTATACCTTCGGGTCTGATAGCTCGTAATATTTTTTCTGCAATGTTTTTGTTTTTTAATTGAACATTTAAGCGTTGAAATTTACGAGTTATCAGAGTTCATTTACAATACAATTAAGCATCTAGTAGAGATAAACAGATATAAGGGATAAACAGATATAAGGATCAAGAGGTATAAGGGATCAAGAGGTATAAGGGATCAGTAAATATAAACGAATGTAATGTTAAGCAGTGACAGTGAACCAGTAGAGTACTTTAAGCCTCCTGTAGGTTAACATGTCGACAAGTAAAGACCACATATTTAATCTTCTACAGTAACTTCTAACAACTGTCGTGTAGTACATAATTAATGTGACCTGAACTGTACACACACACACACACACACACACACACACACACACACACACACACACACACACACACACACACACACACACACAAACAAGTTAAACAGGATTTATTAAAACTGTGTTGGCTTTTGTTTTTGTTTAAGGCTCTGTAGGACGAGATGTTGACCCCGTAGGAGGAGGTAATCTGGCTCTCACCCCCTGCTCCCCGCCCTCACCCCCCTGCCCCCCCTGCCCCTCAAGGCCTTGGCCCTCCACCCCGCCAGCTACAGGCTAAAACACGCCCCACTCCACAGCCTTACATTAATGTGTGTGAGAAACTACACATTTGCCACTCTTCCCCACTCCCTTCCCTCTCACCCCTCCTCTCCCTCTCAATTCCTTCCTCTCTCACCTCCTCTCTCTCTCACACCATCCTTCCTGGCCTACTCTTCCGTCACCTTCCTTCCTCCTCCTCTCTCTCTCTGCCTGGAGAAATCCCATTCATCTCACCAGTGTTTTGGCAATCATGAAGGGCCTTCACACACACACACACACACACACACACACACACACACACACACACACAAGACCCCCAAGACCATCATGATCAGAACGCCCCTGAGCTCACATAATTTACACCCTTTTGTAATCTTTGTTTTGTTGCTGTATTTTCCTGATTTTCTATATTTTTCCCGAATTATCGTTTTTTTTTTTTCTTTATTTCCTCTTATTTTTCCCGCCTCAACCCTACATTTTCCTCTTTATATCCCCTGACTAAAGACAACATAATTTGCCTTCCCCATCATCTACGCTTTGTCGGCAGGCAGGTTGGGGGCGTCTGAGAGAGAGAGAGAGAGAGAGAGAGAGAGAGAGAGAGAGAGAGAGAGAGAGAGAGAGAGAGACTCACTGACACGTGAACACCTCTGCTGACATTATAACACCTCAGCTGACACACTCACCTCTCGGAGCAAATAAAAGTGTCAGCAGGAACGAGTGTGGTGGTTCACTTTGAGTCCCGGCTGACAGCCTGAGCTCTGATGCTGTACCTCACTACAGTGGTACACTACACCTACACACTACACCTGCACACTACACCTACACACTACACCAACACACCACACCTGCACTACAGCCACACACTACACCAACACACTACACCCACACACCACACCCACACACCACACACCAACACACCACACCCACACACCACCCACACACCACACCCACACACCACACCCACACACTACACCCACACACTACACCCACACACCACACCCACACACCACACCTGCACACCACACCCACACACTACAGCACCACACCACACCCACACACAACACCCACACACTACACCTACACACTACACCTACACACTCACACCCACACACCACACCAACACACCACACCTACACACTACACCCACACACTACACCTCACACACCACACCCACACACCACACCCACACACCACACCTACACACCACACCCACACACCACACCCACACACCACACCCACACACCACACCCACACACTCCACACACCACACAACACACCACACCCCACACACCACACCCACACACCACACCCACACACCACACACCCACACACCACACCCACACACCACACCAACACACCACACCCACACACCACACCCCACACACACCACACCCACACACCACACCCACACACCACACCTACACACCACACCAACACACCACACCTACACACCACACCCACACACTACACCCACACACTACACCAACACACCACACCCACACACCACACCCACACACCACACCTACACACTACACCCACACACTACACCTACACAGTACAGAGAGACAGCACTTGAGGTCACCAGCCCGCAGCGGTGTTCCATGGTGGGTACAGCTGGGCCGGGCGACACAGCTGCTGGGTGACACAGCTGGGCCGGGTGACACAGCTGGGCTGGGCGACACAGCTGGGCTGGGTGACACAGCTGGAGCTGGGTGACACAGCTGGGCCGGTGACACAGCTGAGCTGGGTGACACAGCTGGGCCGGGTGCATAGCTGTGGGTGACACAGCTGGGCCGGGTGACACAGCTGGGCTGGTGACACAGCTGGGCCGGGTGACACAGTGCTGGGCGACACAGCTGCTGGGTGACATAGCTGGGCTGGGTGCATGTGACAGCTGGGCCGGTGACACAGCTGCTGGTGACACAGCTGGGCCGGGTGACACAGCTGCTGGTGACACAGCTGGGCCGGGTGACACAGCTGCTGGGTGACACAGCTGGGCCGGGTGACACAGCTGGCCGGGTGACACAGCTGAGCTGGTGACACAGCTGAGCCGGGTGACACAGCTGGGCTGGGTGACACAGCTGCTGGTGACACAGCTGGGCCGGGTGACACAGCTGGGCCGGGCGACACAGCTGGGCCGGGTGACACAGCTGGGCCGGGTGACACAGCTGGGCCGGGTGACACAGCTGGGCCGGGTGACACAGCTGGGCCGGGTGACACAGCTGGGCCGGGCTTAACGTTCAGTAGACGAGAGGGGAAAATATCACGCAGGTACTGGGTGTGGTGAACTGCCTCAGGTGAGCTAACAACACGACAGATTTTTTCTTTGATGATCATTATCTTTTGGGGTTACCTGAAGATTAGACACCGCTGCTTATTGCACCTCAAGATTGACCACCCTAACCTAACCTAACCTCACCTCACCTAACCCCACCTAACCTAACCTAACCTCACCTCACCTAACCCCACCTAACCTAACGTAACCTAACCTATACCTAACCTAACCCCACCTCACCTCACTTGGCGATGATATAAACTTTCTACTGAGGTCTTGTCAACAGTGGCAGTCACCCTTGGCAGTATCCGGTTGTGGCTGAGAGGAAAATTTATTCATAAGCGTAACTCAGAACCCAGATCGAAGGTGGCTCCTGTAGTGAATATCTTGGTGTATGATGCATGAATGTCTGTACAGATCTCTCTCTCAGTGGTGTTTCAGATTACAATTACCCTTGGCCAGTAGTCACTTAATGACCCTATTGGTGCGAGTATGCTGTTGTGCCCTGACACTGAGTACAGCATTAACAGCATCCCGGTTAGGTTAGGTTAGCATTAAACAGCATCCCGAATCGTAGTGTATGTTGGTGAGGAAGTAGTGTAATTAATATCACCCCTGTACGTACACATCCCATAGGCCTATAGTACACATTCCATAGGCCTATAGTACACATCCCATAGACCTATAGTACACATCCCATAGGCCTATAGTACACATCCCATAGGCCTATATGATTTAGGCTTTAATATTTTCTTTTTCGTGTTCAGAATGTTCATAGTTCTTACCTGTTAACACCTGGATGATTGGGTTAACTTTGTCTGTATGTTTATTGTTTTTTTAATGTTTTTTTTTATGACAAATTGAAGCTCGATCTCCGCCATCCCTTTTAACACACACACACACACACACACACACACACATACACGCACACACACACACCCACACACACACACCTCACGACCCTAGGAGTAAAAGTTCACACACTTTTTTTTCTGGCCGGACACAAAGTGGATTGATTGCTGGTCTCGCCAACACCGGGTCCCGACTCTACACTTTTTGAGCCGAATTTTCAGTTTTTTTTATTTTTTTTATTTTTCTCTGGGGTGTTCCAGGCCTTTAGTGATATACAGGCTACCGTCAACGAGCAATCTACAGGAGAGGTGTGTGTGTGTGTGTGTGTGTGTGTGTGTGTGTGTGTGTGTGTGTGTGTGTGGTGAAGGCTAAAGGTCATTACTCCACACCTACACCTGTCGCCCGTCCCACAATCACTCCTAGCACACCTGTCGCCCGTCCCACACACCCTAGTTAAGCACACCTGTCGCCCGTCCCACACACCCCTAAAGCACACCTGTCGCCCGTCCCACACACCCCAGCACCTGTCGCCCGTCCCACACACCCTAGCACACCTGTCGCCCGTCCCACACACCCTAGCACACCTGTCGCCCGTCCCACACACCCTAGCACACCTGTCGCCCGTCCCACACACCCTAGCACACCTGTCGCCCGTCCCACACACCCTAGCACACCTGTCGCAATTATTCATAGACGTAGACAATTTATTAAATGTATCTCTAAAATGTTGTTTCATTTTTTTTAATGTTAGTAAAGAATGACTTAGTAGTGTGAAGGGTTGACATGGAAGTAATTCGTCTTTGTTACTGTGATATATATACTGTACCTGTGTATGTATTGAAGAACACACACACACACACACACACACAGTTTGCAATCGAACTTGCCACCCCCCTCTGTTCTATTATTAATGCATCCCTCAGACAAAGCAAATGCCCTAATGAATGGAAAACCGCATTTGTCACCCCCATCCCCAAGGTGACCACCCCACAGTCCCCTAACGACCTCAGGCCAGTTGCCATTACCCCCATACCCAGTCTACTTTGTGAGGACTTTGTTTTTGAGTGGGCATTTGCCAGTATCTATCAGTCAATTGATCTACAGCAATTTGGCAATATGAGGACCTCATCTACATCACACTGCTTGGTGAGCTTTCTAGATTTTCTGCACAAAAGCTTGCAGAAACGTAAGACATCACTGGCCGTTGCCTTTGTGGACTTCAGGAAGGCCTTTGACCTTGTTGATCACTGCACTGTTATTAACAAGGCTATTGCATTAGGGCTGCCCACCAACCTGGTCTCATGGCTCACTGATTTCTTGAGTGGACGTCGCCAGGCAGTGAGGTATCAGGGCTTGGTCTCCACATTCCAGCACCTAACCTGCGGTGTTCCCCAGGGGACCAAGATGGGACCACTGTGCTTCCTCATCCTGATCAACGACGCGACGCTCTATCGGACACTCCTCACAGGTGGAAGTACGTGGATGACTGCACTGTGGGGGTTTCAGTGGACAACACCGCACCAGACTACTCATCGCTCCAAGGCACCCTGGACAGGCTACAGGCATGGACTACGGAGAACAAGGTCACCATCAACCACACCAAAACCGTAGTCATGCACATCAATACCACCACCACTCCAGTGCAAGCCCCAGCAGTCACAGTGGGTGCCCATCCTCTCCAGCTGGTGCAGTCTGCCAAACTCCTGGGTGTAACCATAGACAACAAACTTGACTGGAAGGCCCATGTAAATAACACAGTCAAGGCAGCCTCATATCGTCTCTACATGCTACGACGACTTAGGTCACTTGGGACACCCACGCCAGAGCTGGGGACCATCTACAACGCCTTTATTCTCCCCAAACTAACGTATGCGTCACCAGCCTGGTCGTCTTCTCTCAACTCTACCCAACAACGTCAGCTAGAGAAGGTACAGAAAAGGGCCTGCAGAATCATGCTTGGCGCAGAATAATCCGGCTACACCAACGCTCTCTCCACCCTGGAAATGCCATCCCTCAGTGACCTCCACCACCAAGCACTGGAAAGGTTTGGCAGTGGACTACTGCACCACCCTCGTCATCGCCACCTCCTGCCACCTGCAGCCCCCCACCCAACTCGCGCAGTCCGCCACTACAACAAAATTCAGCCCATAAGAGCCCGCACCGATAGATATAAGAACAGCACCATCCCATCTATTGTTAAAATAATAAACAACAACTGGTTTATGTACTGTACAGCCCTGTAAATGTATTCAATGCATATTATATCATTATGTCTAAATCAAATGTAAGTCTGCATATTTTCAGCCACTGGCTGCAACTCTATTAATAAACCGTTTATTATTATTATTATTATTATTATTATTATTATTATTATTACACACACACACACACACTCCACACCCCCACACCCCCACTCCCCACACCACACCACACCACACACCCCCACACCACCACACTACACACCCTCACACCCCCACATCAAACACCCGAAACCACACACCCACACACCCCAGCACCACACCCCACCCCCCACACACCCACACACCCCAAACACACCCCCACACACCCCCCACCCCCCACACACCCCCACCCCCACACACCCCACACCCCCACACACCCCCACATTCCCCACACCCCCACACCCACACACACCCCACACCCCCACACACCCCACAGCACACCACACACACCCCCACACACCCCCCACACCCCACACCCACACACCCCACACCACACCTGCACACCCCACACCCCCACACACACACCCCACACACATCCTCACCCCCACCCCACACCCCACACACACCCCCACACACCCCCTGGCACACACTAGACCAAAGAATGAAGTAAATCACCTCATTCCCCCCACAGTGTGATGGCTGACCGCAGTAACTCACTCGAAAAAACAGTCGCTCAGATAAAAGGGGAGGAGAAAAGAGTGTGAGGAGGAGGAGTGACAAGGGAAGGTGAGGGAGAGGAGGAGGAGGAGTGGGAGAGGGTTGGGTAGGTGGTGAAGGAGAGTGAGACGAGAGAGAGGGAGAGGAGAATGAGGGGAAGAGAGGAGGAGAGAACGAGAGGGAAAAGGAAGAGAGGGGAGAGAGAGAAAGTAGGGAGAGAGAAAGTGAAAGAGAGAGATTACTGATACTTTCCTTTCTCCTTCTACTATGATATTTTTTCCGATATTTTTTCTAAACTTTTCAGATATTTTTTCCCTTTATCTCCCTCGGTAATATTTTTCCCTGGAACTTTTATCATAAAAATATTCCCCCATGTCTAGGGATAAGAATTTTTTTCCCTCAAAGTTATGTAATAAAAATATTGACCCAATTTTGTAGGGATTATATATTTTGTTAAGAAAGTTTTAATATAGAGGTATTTTATTATTAACTTGTGTGTGTGTGTGTGTGTGTGTGTTATCTGTCAGTCTCCACCAAACACCTGTCAGCTTCCCCAATCACCTGTCAGTTACCACCAATCACCTGTCAGTTTCCACACCAATCACCTGTCAGTTTCCACCAATCACCTGTCAGTTTCCATCAATCACCTGTCAGTTTCCACCAATCACCTGTCAGTTTCCACCAATCACCTGTCAGTTTCCACCAATCACCTGTCAGCTTCCACCAATCACCTGTCAGTTTCCACCAATCACTTGTTGTTTACATTGTGCTGCATTTTTTACCTTATTTAATGTGTGTGTGTGTGTGTGTGTGTGTGTGTGTGTGTGTGTGTGTGTGTGTGTGTGTGTGTGTGTAATGGTCAAAAGGTTAAAAGGCATCGTACTCAGGCTCATCCGCCGACCAATCACCGACCTTGTTACAAACTGACCCGTGACCTCGGTAACAAGCTTGGTGCAGATAGACTAGAGGGTGTCTAATCTTCAGGTGACTTACGAACTGTTGTGTTAGTCTTTAAACGGCCGCACAGAACTCTAACCTAGCTCTAACCTAACTCTAACCTAACTTAACCTAACCTAACTTCTTCTTCTTAACCCACCTAACCCTTAACCTAACCTAACCTAACCTAACCTAACCTAACCTCAGATAAGGAAAGATATTCACTGAAGAGGCTTTGAGGATGAGGTACAGGAGTATTAGTTGGAGGATGAGGTACAGGAGTATTAGTTGGAGGATGAGGTACAGGAGTATTAGTTGGAGGATGAGGTACAGGAGTATTAGTTGGAGGATGAGGTACAGGAGTATTAGTTGGAGGA